GAGGAGGAGGCGGCGGCGGCGGCGGCGGCGGCGGCGGCTCCCTGCACGGGAGGCCCAGAGGAGGTGGTGCTAAGCTGGGAGACTCTGGCCTCGAGCTCCCTGAGGGACTGTTGGAGCTCCACCAGTTTGTGTCCGGCTAGTTCCAGTCCCTGGGGCTGCAGGCCCTCCATGCTCACTTTCATGCCCATAATGTAGTGCAGCAACAGATTGAGGTGCTCGTAGGCATAGGCGCGCTCGTGGTCATGAATCTTCTCCTTTTCCACCTACAAGATGGGAGGAAATATAAACAATACATGCATGACATCTGGAGGGGGTTCAATCTTTTATATTGTTTTATTTAAAGAAAAATCTTTGTATCAGAAAGAATACAAAATATATCTCAAAATAATATATTCATGCATAATATGGTGGTAAATATTACAGCTACACACTGTAATTGTTAATAAAGAGTTGTTAAATAAAGTTTATTACAGCCGAAGAATGAGTGAAATTAGTACAGAATATGGATTAGATCTCATGGGTCGGTGTGTTAGGGGCGTTTTTTTCTATATTCTTAAATATCAAAACAAAAGCCTGATTCTAAGATTAAAAGTCCTTAATCTAAAAGTGTGTGAGAATATATAAAAGTGATTATTATTAAATATACTCACAGACATATCACATCCCACGACATGAAAGCGACACGGAGTTCTGAATTTGCTGCAGAATTTAATGTGATCCACATACTGAAAGTAAACACAATATATCATATATATAGCAAATTTAAAAGATTCCTTCAATTAATAAACAAACATTACATTTTCTTTTATGGCCTCGTGTGTGTATTTCATAAAATAGACAAAAAACAAACAATAACAACAAAAATAGGTCGGAATTTCTTTTTGTTTTATCTCCTTTTTTGACATCAACAACAACATCTCATTCACCTTTTCACCTTTTGTTGCCATTGTTTTATGTTTGTTTGTGGCTTCAACTGCAGGGTTGTAATAGTTGTTTTGTCTATTAAAATTAAAACCTTTATTAAGTATATTAAGCTTTGTGCTATTTGTTTTCCTGAGTGGATGCCTAAGATAAACAACTTGCCCTATCCAAGATTACTTCTATTTTATTTGATTATTGACTAAAAGTTCTGTTCACAGCTTCACTGTTAATCTGCCAACCTACAATATAACTAAATCTTATCGATGTGTATCAATCTGGGGTTCTGTGACAACAAAAAGGTTGAGAAAAACTAGTTTAGAGGATATTAACAGGATCCTAAAAGACTCTTCTAACCACCTGGAGGAAAAGATAACCAGATGTTTGACTCTGTTTTCAGTCTTTCTCCTCATCCAAACAAAAGTTGAAGCCTAAAAAGTTTTACTGAAGTTCCTTTCTGTTATTTTCATACAGAAATACATTTATAGGAAGCACATTGGTCATTTCTGACTCTCTGGACAGGAAATAGAATCTTTATCTTCATATTTAGACAGAATATTTTGTCATCCAGATGTTTTAGAAGAGTACTCTCAAAAAATGTTCAGCTGTGTGACTGTGTGAGTGTAATCGTCCCACACGAGAGGCACAAACTGGGGGAGTGTATCTGCACCTATCTCACCTTTTCTCTGGGGATTTTCTTCTTGGCACAGCCTTCACAGATCATCGGGTACTTGGGACAGATCTCATCATGTGCCTGAAACAAACAGAGTTTCTTATGAAGACACACAAAGAGCCGCTCTGATGTGCCGCCCCGGCCCAGGACAAGCCTCTCAGCCTCCCAGCGAGTGTAAATAAATCATGTCCTAACCTTGATGTTTTTGAAGTGAAATGGCTCCTTGCAGTACTTGCAGTTGAGCGTCCTCTCCGGGCACTCTCGCTCGTTGTGGCGCTCCTGTTCGTTGAAGCGAATTCGCTCTTTGCAGGAGGGGCAGGGGATGATCATGAACTCGCACTTCCCCTCGTGGTTCATCTGTAGGGGGGGAAAAGGAGAGACTTTCTATACATATAGCATTAGCAAGAGAGGCTAAGCTAGCAAGATGTCCAGACTGGGTTGGGCCGAGTAGGGCACTAACTTATGACGACCGCTGCTTATGTGACATATTTTATGGATATT